AATGACTATGCAAACTTGACCACTCTGCTCCCCTCCTCCCCTCAGCAGCGGCTCCTCGCTCCTCTGAGAAGCCAGGGATGTTCCCTGCTGATTTTTCGGGGCTCCCCCGGGCTGCCTGCTTCCCCCAGCTCCTCAGAGGCCTGCCTCAAGCCCTTTCTTCTGGCCCCCTTGGCTGTTTCCCCTGGCCTCCCCACTCCCCAGCTTCCTCTTCCCCTTGGAGAGTCACCCTGCTGGACTGTTCTAGAAAAGGGCTGGCCTTCCTCCCTGGACAAGAGCCGTTTCTCTGGGGGCAGGTGAGGGTGACCCGTCCCAGCCCACCCCAAGAAACTCTCTTCCCAAGGGCATCTGGGCCTCGGGCTTCCCTGGAGCAGGTCAGGCTGGCTGCCCTGGCTGGCCCGTGCCCGGAAATCTAGCCAGGGTGTGGGAGAAGTGCGTGTGGGGGCCCCTTTCCCAAGTTTTTCTTGCTGCAAAAGGCCTAGCTTAGCCTGTCTTTTTCTATGCACAGGATGGCTCTTGCTCACCCGAGCCTCACAAAGATAATCGCTCAGGAAGTGTTTCAGCCAATCCGGGGCGGCTTTACACTCCGATTTGCCGGGGCAGCCAATCGGGGATGAGCTTTTATTAGGCGGCCAGATCATCAGCCGAAGTGCCAAACCCTTTTTCTGTGAGAACTAGGAGCCTGTCCTCCATGTTTTATAAGTATTGACATTACACAGTGTTAACAATGCATCCACAGAGGTAAGCTCGACTTTTTAACCATCTTTTTTCCCCCTCCCTCTGAGACATCCGAATTGTGGGCGAGCAGTGTGATTTCTCTGTGGCTGGCCGTGCCACACTCACCCCCAGAGCACTTATGTTAACTTGGAACTGTTTAGAGAGAATTTTTTTGCTTTCTTGGGTCACATGGCTCAGTAGCCATTAGCCATAGCTTGATTTTGCAAACTGGCAAGGGCCTGGCACACCTTTCCTTCCACTAGGACATGGTGTTTCTGGAAGAGTTTGAAGCTAGATGCTGGTATGCCAAAAAAGAAGCTCTTTTCTTTTCTTTTTCTTTTTTTTCTTTCCCTCTCTTCCTCTCTCTCTCTCTCTCTCTCTCTCTCTCTGTCTCTCTCTCTCTCTCAGCAGTCCCCCCTCCCTCCCTGCACTATTGTCTTCTCTTTTGCCACATGCCCTGCTGGGGGAAGAAAATGGAAGGTAAGCAAGCAGGCTCCTCTCCAAGGAGAGCTCATGGCAGACAGCAGCGCAGGCAAGTTTGCCTCTCCAAAGAGGTTCTGGGAAGGCTGGATAAGTTTTGACAAGAGAGGAGCGTGTTTGCAAAAAGAACTGAGCCCTCAGCAGAGCAGTGCTAAGGAGAGTCTAGCTCCTGGGGCCTAGGTGGGTGGTGGTGTCTGTACACGGAGCTTCTCTTATTCTAAGAGCTTCTGCACTTGAAACTACTTTGTTCAGCCTGTTTTCTTGACTGAGGTTGCTACAGTGTTCTGCAAGCCAGCCTACAGCCAGCAAATGTTTCTGAAAGTGTTGGAGGAAGTTTTTGGAGTAGGGATGGGGATTGGGGGGTGGGGGGAGAGAGAGAGCTTGGACAACATCCTGCAAAAAAAAAAAAAAAATAAAAACCAAAAAACAAAAAAAGGAAAAAATCTGCAAGGACTCTGAATCCCTTAGCTTTCTACTCTTGCATGATTTTTCAAGGAACTAATGTTACCTTTTATCTTTTCCTTTTCCTCTCCCTTTTATACATTGTATCCTCCTCTGTTGTGTGTGATGGAGTGTAGAGGAAAGAAAACCATGTCTGTGGCTCCTGACAGCATTCCATATTCAGTTGTTGGGTTGTGGTGGTGTTGATGTTGTGTGTTTAATAATACCATGTAACTGTTTAAAAAAATTTCCTTTTTGATCAAGTCCTAAATCTGCCAGCCTGTTCTCTCTTCCTAACTGTGGAAAAATGAGACGGTTGCTTGAACATTTGTTGGGTAAGTAAAGCAATCCATTTCCTCTGTGACCATGTTTGAAGAGTTTTGTGAACATTTGGGGTCTGATTGTAAGAGGGGGTCTTGGCTACAGGAGTTTGGGGCTTCCTTAGCAGGAACAGAACAAGGGCCTTTTAAAAGAGTGTCTTGATTTTAGGTGACTGTTTGAATTCACTGTTTTCCCTGATAACCTGCAGCTAGGATTGAAGATTACACTTCCTGTTTACCCCCAGTCAGGGGAGAAATGTTCAGTTCATTGTGACTTGACTCTAGACCTTTAATGGGGTTTGTTTGGATATTCAACCTGTGAGTAGGTGATGTGCTTGTGAAATGTCATGAAACTGTTTGTGCTTAGAGGTGCAGAGCCCTAAAAACATGGGGTGGGGGGCAGAAGCTGGTGGTGGTGGTGGTATGTGTGTTTTGGGGGGGGGTGGTTGTCAGTGCTCATGTTTTAGGATTTTTATATATACAGTATAAAATCTCATCCACCACCACACTGCGTTTGATTTCAGGACTCACTGACACACATTTCGGCCTTTTTCCAGGTCTGATCCACACATCTGTATGCATGCTGGCCTCACATAAGATTTCTCACTTTTTACATTTCCCTTGCTCTCCTTAGGCTGCAGCTAGAAGTTAAGTGGAAAAAGTAGAGTCTTGTTTAGCATTACCTTCAGAATTTCCCTAGAAGTTCACTATGTAAATTTTCAGCTTGGAGACCAATCCAGCATGACTGTGAATGCAGGCAATATATATTCAGTTGCTGTGTTATGTCAACTTTATGGAGTCAGTAATCTTTTTTCTTTCAAATGTGTGTCCAGTAGCCCACTTTCTGACATCAAATTGGAAAAAGGCTCATTTAATCAGGAGAAATGTACCACATTCTAAGTTGAGAAAAGTCTGTGCAAGGCAGGCCAGCTTAGCTTCTTAGAATAAAACTGCAGGCAGTTCATGATGTTATATACTTAAAACTGAGCAGTGCCACTGCCCCAAACAAGTAAGTTCAGACACTCAGCTATTTTCTTTGTTCTTATCTCCTTGCTGTAAATGGAGATTACATATTGAGGCTCTTGTGGCCTCCCTAGAAGCAATGTCTAATCATAAGACTCCTGGTTTGGTGCCTTCAACGTTTGCATAATACTGTGTTTGTTGGGCTGGAAGGGAACTTCAGGGCAAGGCATTTGTCCTCTAAAAGCTTGCATTAAAATGGCTCCCACAGGTTTGGAGAGCCAAGATCTGTTTTCAAATGTATAACCCCCAGCAAGTTCCCAACCCTGGACCAAGCTAGCCACTTTTCCTGTGGTACTGTGGCCCCCACCAAGCATGAGTCTGTAAAAAGTTAATTGCTTTCAAAGTAGCATTATTTTCCAGTTTCAGGAAGTGGGGGGGGGGGGCGGATAAATGTCTGCATTGCAGCAGGACTAGGTAGGGACGGCAGTGCTGGCTCCCAGAGCAGCCCAATGGGGTTCTTCTACTCTAGCTTTTAAACCAATAGACTTGGAGGAAAGGTTAAAGATTGACAATTGCAGTGGCCGAACTAAGAACGGGCCTTCTGGAAATTTCTACCATCTTTGTTTCTTTTAGGAAAAGCAGATGTGCCAAGCGGAAGAGTCTCCTACCTTCCATTCCTAGGTCATCTTTCTTCCCTGCTTTCCCCCAGCCCCTGTTCTTTTTCTCATCAAGGTAGAATGTTCTCTCTGCCACATTTCTAAATTGCAGAGGGAGGAACAGAATGTTGGGCTGTTTTCCTTTCTCCTTCTGCCTCCTCAGTCCCCAAAGAGGATACACAGCTGCAAGGAGCAAACACAGACACACTGAAGCTTTTGATTCCTCTCCTTTTTTTTTTTCCTTCAAGACCCTCCAGGATGGATTCACTTTCTGCTTGGGGAAATTAAGTGGCATTCACGTGGGGGAGGGGGAGTAACTGCTTTTATTAGCTCCAGAAAATGGTCACTGTTCAGTCTGTAACTAGGAATTAATTATATGTAATCACTCAGTAAACTTTCTACAGAGTTTTTCTAATTGCTGAGCCTGAACATAGTTAGCCCATTGGCGCCAAGTCCAGTTACTTTTATAATTAACAGCTCAAAGATTTGAGTCAGAAAGAAAAGAAACAATTGGGGGCCTCTTGGATTATAAATTAGGGATGAAAACAATAGCTTTTTTCCCTTTCTTTCTTGTAACCCCTTTTCTTTTAAACAAAACATTCCCCCTTTTCTTTCCCTGGGAGAACCAGTGGGGAGACTGCGTCAGGTCTTAAATAGGATAGGGTGGCGGGGGGGAGACACTTTTTAGGAAGCGGGGTGGCAGGAACCTAACCTTTTTAGGAAGCGGGGTAGTAGAAAACCCAAGGTAGGTTTTTAAAAGTCCAGCCACTTCCAATGTGTGATGTCTTTGTTTCTTTTGCCCTCTTTCCCCTTCTCTCTCCTGTGGCAGAGGCAGCAGACATTTGTCAGCCTGGGAACCCTCAATCTGGCTTTGCCTCTGGTTGACCCTGGAAGAAAGATACATTCAAAGGGGCCTTCGCTACTGCACAGCAGAGATTTAAAAAGGGAATATGTTTCGAAGCCCTTTGGTTGCTTTTAAAATGCAAAATCTGAGCAAGGGTTCACCCTTGGCTTCAGGTTGCTAAGATTATGGTTGCCCTCCCCCCTACTTCCCACTCTCCTTGCAGACAAACAAGCAGGCAGTGGCCATGCCAGCTCTGCAGCCAGTGTGCTGCCAGCCTGCCCCCCCATCCAGATTACCTACCTACCGGCCGGTGGGGGCCAGTGGTCCGTCCTTGCCCTGGCACGGCCTTGGGCGCTGTGCCCTCCTTTCTCCCCTGGAGCTAAAAAGCAGTCACCTTGAAACTCCTCACTCCCAGCACCAGAGGAGTTCTGAGGCCAGTGCTCAGACCTGTAACAGTAAATGACGTTATCTACTCAGGCTGTTAGTTCGGCCTCTGAAATCGGGTTTTGCAAAACCCATTGTTAATTCTCAGGCTCTGTTGGGGGTGGTCAGAAATCTAATGTGTGAGTATCCTGTGCATTGGATAAGGGAATGTTTTCCTTGTGTTTCTCCTCTGCAGACTCGGATTGTCTTTCCTTGATGTTAACTGTCTTAGGACTGGTGGCTTCAGAGGGCTGGGTATTTGGCTGTTTGCAGGCTTATAAACAGCATTTTGATTTTACCTTGGCCGCAGACTGAGGTGCAGCCCTTTTGCTTGGCTTTTCAGATGCCTGCTGTCCTTGAAGCACTTTCATTTTACCTAGCTCCTTTTTGGTATGAATGCAAAGCTGGTTTCTAATAGACTGAGAAGAGAAGGGGGACCTGGCTTCCTCCTCGCCTCCCCCCAGCCTGCTCCCTGGGAACATTTTTGTGTTTGCACAGACACCTGTCCGGCTGCAGTTTGTGCCACGGGGCTGCACAATTCCTAACCTTCTACCCACCTAATTCGAGGGCAAGGGGGCCTCATCACAGAGCCTCATCTTGAAGGCTCAGGATCTGCAAGAGAAGGCTTTTCCTTAGGAACCTGTGACTTCACAAACTCTCCCTGTCATTGCAGAGTTTTTTTTAAGCTTCTAAACGTTGGGTTGTTGGTGTCCTTTGGTTCAGCTTTTCCTAGTTCTGGTATTTAGGAAGGTGGCTTTGAAACTAGCAGGGCTGCTTAAACAAGAGCTACAGCTATTGAACAAACTGCTACCATTTTAGCTTCAACACAGGAATGAGGCAGTGTTGCCAGACGCCATTTTAAGAATCCTGCATAAATAGCTTAGCTACCGATGACTCTGCCTGTTTTAGGTGAGTGCTTATATAAAGCTGCTCTGCTAACCATTCCCCCCCACCCCAATTTCTTAAAAAATTAATTGCAGATTTAGGGAAGCATGGTTTTTAATTTTGATGTTCACTATTTTGTAATCTAGAAGAGGAAGATGTTATGCCTTGGGGATTAAATATTTCTTCCAGCCTGGACCATTTTGGTATTTTGAATGAAAGTAAAAACCAGGAAAAAGTCCTTTCGAATGATGCATGATTCTTGAATTGCTGTGCTATGATCCTCATCTGTAGAACCAGAGTTGTGTGCATGTTGGTTATGTATTCTAGATGGCTTAGATATTCTTCTTTAAAAGTCAAATAGTAGGGGCACTTGGGGAAAAGAAGTATGTGGGCATTGTGTATCTAGGCATTTTTCTGTCAAAATTAGATGCTTTCTTTTTTTTCTCTTGGAAGTGTTGAGATGAGATTCCTGGGAATTACGGACCATCTCTGAGTCCTCAGAATTAATAATCAGAAGGCTTAAAGCATCCTGGAGGTGCAGTAGTTCATCTGCAACTTTTAATTGCTCTTTTTTCAGTGCATGCAGGTTAAGAAGTAAGCATAGGTTTTCTTGCTTAGGCACTAGGGGAGAAATCTTTTATTCTTTTTGGGATGGGATGGGATGGGGTGGTCTTGGTTGTCTTTGCAGGTACTGTTATTTCTTTGAATTGCCTGAAATGTATCAGTTTGTGAAATCTACAGGCAAGTGACTTGGCTAAATATGAATGTAAGAGGTGGTGATGTATACAATGTATATAACTAGTTGATAGTGTGTTTTCTTGTTGGAGTGAGAAATTGTTGTTTGCTTTTCAGCTAATTTTACCCTTTTCTTTAGAGGGCCCCCAGTTTCCTCAACAGACCTTTTAAAGGGAAAAAAAGTAATGACAGTTTGAAACAAGACCTTGTTGTCCCATTGTTTTTGATTTAAATCATCAGGGTTGCTGGAAGCTAGCAGATATGGAAGGAAATAAGCTGTATATGTTCTGAGACTTTAATGTATTAATGACAGAAGTTCAAAGTATTTTCTCCAGATGCAGCTGCCTTTTCTTTTTAACAATTATTTAACTGTTTTTTTCCCCCCTAAATGACTGAACAGTTCTTAACCAAAATTGACCAACATCTGTGGGGCAATTCAGACAGGTACAGATCTTTTCTTGCCACTACTTTTGATGTAATATTCATGTTTTTCCCCTAATAGCATACGAGTTCTTCACGTTAAACCAAAAAAAAAAAAAAAAAAAAAAAAGAAAAAACAAACAAAAAAAAAGCAAAACCGAAATCAGTGGTGTAGGAAAAAGGAAGTCCCTTTAGATGTGGCTATTCAAAATGACTAATTTTGCATTCTGGTCTTTGCTTTTGTAAATGAAGTGTTTTTTTTTCTCCTCCTTTTAATGCATAGACACTGCAGTTTCCTTTAGTCAAATACAAGTTATTGTGTGTGTGAGTGTGCATGCATGTGTGTGCACGGGTTCCTTTTGAAAGGATGGTTTGCTGATCTGTGAAAAAGATGGTTTTCTTAAATTGTTGTGCTTGAATCCTGCGCTAAAGCTGGTGGTGCTATTGCTAAAGTTGGGTGATTATGGTGCCCACTTGTAATACTTGGAAAGATAAAACAGCTTAACTTTTTTTCCCTCTCTCTTCTGCTCCAGCATTGATTATCTTAAAGCTCAGAAGCAAATAAAACTAGTTTGCATTTTCCTCATCTCTCAGCAGCATTCCTGCCTGAAGTATTCAGCTCCTCTAGGCTGTTACAAGCAAAATAATTGTTCCCTTGAATGCAGCCTTCCTCTGTGATCAATACACCTTTGAATGTTTTCATCGCTGCAGAAATCCTTCAAGTGGGTTTTTTTGGCTCAGCTCTGCATAATTGTTTCCCTCACCACTGTAGATTTCAGTTTAGCGTTTTCTCTATTACTCAAAATATGGGATCGGTTTCAAGAAGTTTAGAATTTCACATGCTTCATGAGAGAGAGGGAAACAGAATTCTAGTTACTAGAAAAGATCAAGGTTGCTATTTGTTCCTTTGAAGTTAACTGTCTACCCATCTCCGAGGGCTGCATGGGGCTTTTTGTTGAGATATATTTCCAGTCACCCCAAGCATCCAGTTGGACAGCCTGTGTATGTTTCAGGCAGAGTGTGTTTCTGAGTTGAGAACGTTTTCTCCTTAAGTCGGAATAGAACACATTAGTGCTGAAATCACCTTCAATAAATCACCATTGTATTGTTGCATATAAGTGATGTGTTTAAATTTAGTAGGCTGCTTTCTCCTGATGAAAACCATTTGTGACAACATGTCAGTTGTTTCTTTGGTGATTTGTATCACAGGCTTTCTTTACAGATGCTGTGTAAATGAAATTGTTAACCGGGTTCAATATCTGATGGCTAAATGTGTTAATATTCTCATTTAAACCCAACTACCTTTCTTCTCTGTGCTGGGACAAGTTAAGTCTGAGGTCTTCAAGCTCCTATAATTTAAATTGGAGCTAGAATCTTTTCCTTTCTATCTAGCTCTCATTGTAAAAACTCTCCTCCTAATAAACGTGGAACTCTCCTAAAATCTTCTCCTTATACTAGGGTTCGAGACATGAGGCTGCCCTTTTGGGCCTGTCTTTTGCCTCGTCACAGTCCCAGACCACAGAACACAGACAGGACATTCTCTCTTCCCCAGCCTCCTTCCTGTCCTCGCTTTGAGTCTTCCAAATGGAAAATTCCAGCCATATCAGTTGGTGATGCACCCATTTCTTCCTGTGGGACCAGCCACAGTCTGATGGAATTGCTTCTGGAGTAAATGCCCAGTTTCATACTACTTCAGTGTCAGCCTGAATGTTTGGAAAGTTCTAGCACCTCAAACCATTTGCACCTATGAAAGCAGAACTCTATTTTTTTTCCGTTGGTTCAGTTTGTGAGTTCTCTGTAGGAGGAAGATCTGATACGGCCGGCTCTCTTTCAACTCCAGTTCCAGCAGAGAGAGGGAGAATGTTCTGGGTGACAGACCCTCCCAGCAAAGGGGCTTGCTTTATTTGCTTCTCTCCCCAACCCTCCACTCTTAGCCTTTGTCTTTTGAATAATCCTTCCACATTCCACTTTTGTGGTGGGGGATAATTAGTCACAACTCAGTAGTAAGCTGTGCCCGCTGTAGAGAGGAAGCATTCAGCGGGTTGGAAGTGTGGAGACCTGGTTCTGATTCCTGGAATCAGTGCTCCCCGGTTCAGTGTTTTGAGCCCAGGTCTTTAGCTTCTAGCTGGGCATATTTTTCTGCTTTGTAATTTAACCTGTATCTTTTTTTTTTTTTTTTAATGTTCCTGCCTCATCAGGGAATTGTAAGATTTAGGGGAAGGTGTGGGAAATCTTACTCTTTGCCCTAAAGTATTCAGAGATGAGAACTCTGGATACCCTGCAAAACACCTCCAGCCTGCCTGCCTTTGAACCTTGTGTTAACAATGAGAAGCTTGTTTATTTGAAGGCTGGGTTCTTATAGGCCCACAGGGGTAGGTTGTAATTGTGTGTCTAAAAAATTGCCTTTTGCATTCCCCCAATAGCATGACAACTGGAATAGTAATTTGACTTAAAGAAAAAAAAAAGAACAACATAGGGTTTAAAAAAACCCCTTTAGGACTCTTCACACTTTGTTGAAATCAGGTGTGGGTTTCCTTCCCCCACCCCTGGATAAGGATGAGGGAATGTCCTTAAGGTGGGCGTGTTGCCAGAACTTCCAGATAGCTGCCCCCATGGGATAAGTTCTCAGCCCACCTAAACATGAACGTAATTTGCTCTGTTTCAGTTTGGCTGAAGAGGAAGTAAAAGCAGAACAGGAGGTGGTAGAGGGCATGGATATCTCTACTCGCTCCAAAGGTAAGTAAAAATCTTGTATTATCTATTCTAGAGCTAAGGAGGAAATTGGAATTTCTTTATGTTGTAGAGCAATGGAGTGTGGCTCTCTGAGCCGATATTGTAACTCTCCTTGGGTTTTCAGATAGAAGATTTTTTGATGGATGAACCTGATTTATGGAGAACTCTCTCCTTTTGGTTTTCTTTCCCTGGTGTCTGTGTAGGTGTCCTGACTTGTCAGGAGCTGTCCTGACAGTGAATTTTACCTGTGTGTTATGACGGAGAGCTGCTGGCTACCTCTCCGTAGGGTGATTTTCAGGAGCCACAGTTTCAATAAAGCATGTTCTGGAAGCCACCAGAGCCTCTAGCTGCCGCTCGTTTTCTGATTTTAACAACAGGCCTCTTTGGAATCCCAGAAGTGGGATGAAGTCAGGCCGCTTCATTGGAAAATGGTGGTCTTGGGTTAGAGATAAAACGGAAATGTAGAGCTTGCTGGGATGCCGGGGCCAGTGTTTCCATTTAGTTCAAAATTTAGCAAATGAGGGCAAACACAATTTATGTGTGTATTCACAAGCCTGGAGTAGACTCCTGAATATCTTCTAATTGAGGGATTGGTACTTCTCATTTGGTCTGTGTGAAAGAGATTTTATGAGGCTTCCCAAAAGGAAGCAGTTACTTACTTTTGTCTTCAGGGTGCTTTTACAAATGAGCTACTGGAGTATTTTTCATATCTTTGGTTGATGAAAAGGCTCATCTCCAAACTTAATGGTTGTACCAAGATGTTTTCATTCCTTCAACAAGTCACTGAGTGCTTGGGCTGGAAGTTATGGGGAGGAAGGAAGTGGCTGAGAGGGTTATGCAGACTACCGGAACGAGATTCCCATTTGGCTACAGAGTGTGGCACAAGGTGACTCCCTAAAGGTATCTGAATCAAAACGCAGTTTGAGGATTGTTATAAGACAGCATGTCACTGGTATGGTGGCTCATGCCTATAATCCCAGCACTTGAAGGGGTGGCTGAGACAGGTGAATCACCTGAGGTCAGGAGTTTGAGACCAGCCTGATCAACATGGAAAAGCCCATCTCTACCAAAAATACAAAATTAGCTGAGTATGGTGGCACATGCCTGTAATCCCAGCTACTTGTGAGGCTGAGGCAGGAGAACCACTTGAACGTGGGAGGTGGAGGTTGAGGTGAGCGGAGGTTGCAGTGAGCTGAGATTGCACCATTGCCCTCCAGCCTGGGCAACAAGAGTGAAACCCCATCATAAAAAAGAAAAAAAAAAACGATAGCATGTCACTGGGCGTGGTGGCTCATGCCTGTAATCCCAGTACTTTGGGAGGCCGAGGCAGGCAGATCATGAGGTCAGGTGTTCGAGACCAGCCTGGCCAACGTGGTGAAACCCCATCTCTACTAAAAATACAAAAATTAGCTGGGTGTGGTGGCAGGCACCTGTAGTCCCAACAACTTGGCAGGCTGAGGCAGGAGAATCACTTGAACCTGGGGTGGAGTTAGAGATTGTAGCAAGCCGAGACTGTACCACTGCACTCCAGCCTAGGAGACAGAATGAGACTGTTCCCCCCCCAAAAAAAATCACTGTTGATGGTGACCATGACCATCTGGGTATGGTAGAGCTTTCTTCTCTTTCCATCCTCTGCTCTTTGGAAGGAAGTCACAAAAAAGCGTCACCCACGCTTAAGGAGTCAGGAGTCATGCTCCACCTCCTCGAAAGCAGAGGCTTGACATCAATTATCTGGGGCCAGGTGCAGTGCCTCATACCTGTAATCCCAGCACTTTGGGAGACTGAGGTGGGTGGATCACTTGAGGCCAGGAGTTCGAGACTAGCCTGGCTAACATGGCAAAACCCCATCTCTACTAAAAACACAAAAATTGCACACCTATAATCCCAGCTACTTGGGAGACTAAAGTAGGGAAATCAGTTGAACCTGAGAGGTGGAGGTTGCAGTGAGCTGAGATTGCACCACTGCCCTCCAGTATGGGTGACAGTGAGACTGTCTGAAAAAAAAAATTTAGAATTGTTCTGTATGGGGTACTGGTCTCTTCTCCCTCATGTATTTATTCAGTCATTTATCTCTCTTAGTATGGACTCTGGGATGGTTACTTTATACTGTGGGTTGTAATCCAATACTACCTATTTGTTTTATTGCTCAAATCATTCCAGCTTTGGCAGTTGGGAGCTCTTTCCGTTGGCTCTTGTGTCCCCTTGACAGACTCCATCGTTGCAGGTTTGTTTATGTGTTTGTTTGAGACAGAGCTTCGTTTTGCTGCCAGGCTGGAGTGCAGTGGCGCAGTCACAGCTCATTGCAGCCGTGACCTGCTGGGCCCAAGCGGTCCTCTTGCCTCAGCCTCCCAAGTAGCTGGGACCACAGGGTTGCATCGCCACAGTTGGTTAATTTTTGTTCTTTTTATTTATAGAGATGGAGTCTTGCTAGGCTGGTTGCCCAGGCTGGTTTTGAATTTCCCAGGCTCAAGTGATCCTGCCACTTTGGCCTCCCAAAGTGTTGGGAGGTTACAGGTGTGAACCACCATGTCTGGCCTGTTTATTTATTTATTGAGCACTTTCTTGCCTTCTGGCACTATGTGATGCTGAAGGCTCATCTTGTATGTGTTTGCCTCAGCCCTAGAATCATCCAGTTCTGTATGAATCCTGGTTTCTTTTTTTGGAGAATGGTATTAGAAACCAAGATATGGCACTAAGTGTGCTCATGTTTTTTTTTTTTTTTTTTTTTTAAAGACAGAGTCTCACTTTGTTCAGGCTGGAGTGCAGTGGCATGATCACTGCTCACTGCAACCTCCACCTCTCGGTTTTTTTTTCTTTTTCTCACCTCCCGGTTTTAAGCAATTCTCCTGCCTCAGCCTCCTGAGTACAGGTGCCCACTGCCATGCCTGGCTAATTTTTGTATTTTTAGTAGAGATGGGGTTTCACTATGTTGGCCAGGCTGGTCTGGAACTCGTTACCTTGTGGTCCACCTGCCTCGGCCTCCCAAAGTGCTGGGATTACAGGCATGAGCCACCGTGTCCAGCCAAGTGTGCTCATTGCTACTGGAATATTTTTGCTTCTAGATTCTCTCTCTTTTTTTTTTTTTTTTTTTTTTGAGTTGGAGTCTTGTCTTTCGTTCAGGCTGGAGTGCAGTGGTGCATTGTCAGCTCACTGTAACCTCTGCCTACCAAGTTCAGGTGATTCTCCTGACCCAGCCTTCCAAGTATCTGGGACTGCAGGTATGCACCACCATGCCTGGCTAATTTTTGTATTTTTAGTAGAGATGACTTTTTGCCATGTTAGCCAGGATGGTCTGGAACTCCTGGCCTCAAGTGATCTGCCCACCTCGGCCTCCCAAAGTGCTGGGATTATAGGCGTGAGCCGCTATGCTTGGCTCCCAAATACTTTAAATGAGATAATGCATACATAGTGAAAGGCATCTGGCTCATCAAAGCACCACACTTTTTTTTTTTTTTTTTTGAGATGCAGTCTTGTTTTGTTGCCCAGGCTGGAGTGCAGTGGCAGAATCTTGGCTCACTGCAACCTCCACCTCCTGGGTTCAAATGATTCTCCTGTCTCAGCCTCTGAAGTAGCTGGGACTACAGGTGTGTGCTGCCATGCATGGCTAATTTTTGTATTTTTTTTTTTGAGACGGAGTTTCGCTCTTGTTGCCCAGGCTGGAGTGCAATGGCGCGATCTCGGCTTACCGCAACCTCCGCCTCCTGGGTTCAGGCAATTCTCCTGCCAAAGTGCTGGGATTACAGGCTTGAGCCACCGCGCCCGGCCCCAGCTAATTTTTTTTTTGTAGTTTTAGTAGAGACGGGGTTTCACCATGTTGACCAGGATCGTCTTGATCTCTTGACCTTGTGATCCACCCGCCTCGGCCTCCCAAAGTGCTGGGATTACAGGCTTGAGCCACCGCGCCCAGCCCAATTTTTGTATTTTTAATAGAGACAGAGTTTTACCACGTTGGCCAGGCTGTTCACCAACTCCTGACGTTAGGTGATCTGCCTACCTCAGCCTCCCAAAGAGTTGGTAGTACAGACGTGAGCCACCTTGCTTGTAGATTCTCTCACTGGACAATAAGGAAGCATATATACACACATCTGTAAACATTTTTACATGTATCCATCTGTGCCTCTATCAGCTAAACATGAGTTCATGCTCCCGTCTGACCCTTTCCCATTCCTGCATGGATCATTCTGGCCTTCTTCCCTAGTTTCTCTGTAACCTCCTACTCCGACAGTGAGAAGACTGGCTTCCACTGTTCACCATTCGTTTACTATTTTCTGGTACATTTTAACCTGATCTACAGTGTACAGTCTGATGAACTTTAACTCACGTTTGCACTTGTGGGACCATGACCCAGATCAAGATAATTAAACATTTCCAGCATCCAGAGTGTTCCTCTGTCACTCTGATTTTGTTCATAGCCTTTGTCCTCACTTTGTATATTCTTATTTATTTCTTGCTCTGCTAGAATGCTGGCTGGTCTCTTTTTAAAAAAAAATTTCTTTGAATTTATTCTTTTTGAGACGGAGTCTCGCTCTGTCGCCCAGGCTGGAGTGCAGTGGCCCAACCTAGATTCTCTGCAACCTTCATCTGCTAGGTTCAAGTGATTCTCCTGCCTCAGCCTCCTGAGCAGCTGGAATTACAGGCATGCACCACCACACCCAGCTAATTTTTGTATTTTTTAGTAGAGATGGGGTTTCACCTTGTTGGCCAGACTGGCCTTGAACTCCTGACCTCCGCAAGGGCTGGAATTACAGGCGTGAACCGCTGGGCCTGGCCTTTTTTAAAAATAGAATCTCATTGTGTTGCCCAGGCTGCAGTGCAGTCTCAACTGTGGGCTATTCAGAGCTGTCATGACAGCACACTCCAGCCTCTTAACTCCTGGGCCCAAGTGATATTCCTGCCTCAGCTTCCCGAGTAGTTGGTACTGTGAGTGCACACTATGGTGCCAGCTTTCAAAAGCACACCTGGATCACTGTGCTTACCCCTTCTGTTTGAGAGGCACGGTGCCA